TTCTAAGGCATTAGAAGCTAGAGCAGTGGAAGCTAGAGTAGTGGAAGCTAGAGTAGTGGAAGCTAGAGTAGTGGAAGCTAGAGTAGTGCAAGCTAAAGCAGTGGAAGCTAGAGTAGTGGAAGCTAGAGTAGTGGAAGCTGGAGTAATGGAAGCTAGAGTAGTGGAAACTAGAGTAGTTGAAGCTAGAGTAGTGGAAGCTAGAGTAGTGGAAACTAGAGTAGTGGAAGCTAGAGTAGTGGAAGCTAGAGTAGTGGAAGCTAGAGTAGTGGAAACTAGAGTAGTGGAAGCTAGAGTAGTGGAAGCTAGAGTAGTGGAAACTAGAGTAGTGGAAGCTAAAGTAGTGGAAGCTAGAGTAGTGAAAGCTAGAGTAGTGGAAGATAGAGTAGTGGAAGCTAGAGTAGTGGAAGCCAGAGTAGTGGAAGCTAGAGCAGTGGAAGCTAGAGTAGTGGAAGCTAGAGTAGTGGAAGCGAGAGTAATGGAAGCTAGAGTAGTGGAAGCTAGAGTAGTGGAAGCTAGAGTAGTGGAAGCTAGAGTAGTTGAATATACAGTAGTGGAAGCTAGAGCAGTGGAAGCTAGAGTAGTGGAAGCTAGAGTATTGGAAGCTAGAATAGTGGAAGCTAGAGTAGTGGAAGCTAGAGTAGTGGAAACTAGAGTAGTGGAAGCTAGAGTAGTGGAAGCTAGAGTAGTGGATGCTAGAGTAGTGGAAGCTAGAGTAGTGGAAGCTAGAGTATTGGAAGCTAGAGTAGTGGAAGCTAGAGCAGTGGAAGCTAGAGTAGAGGAAGCTAGAGTAGTGAAAGCTAGAGTAATGGAAGCTAGAGTAGTGAAAGCTAGAGCAGTGGAAGTTAGAAGAGTGGAACCTAGAGTAGTGGAAGCTAGAGTAGTGGAAACTAGGGTAGTGGAAGCTAGAGTAGTGGAAGTTAGAGTAGTGGAAGCTAGAGTAATGGAAGCTAGAGTAGTGGAAGCAAGAGTAGTGGAAGCTAGAGAAGTGGAAGCTAGAGTAGTGGAAGCTAGAGTAGTGGAAGCAAGAGTAATGGAAGCTAGAGTAGTGGAAACTAGAGTACTGGAAGCTAGAGTAGTGGAAAATAGAGTAGTGGAAGCTAGAGAAGTGGAAGCTAGAGAAGTGGAAGCTAGACTAGTGGAAGCTAGAGTAGTGGAAGCTAGAGTAGTGGAAGATAGAGTAGTGGAAGCTAGAAAAGTGGAATCTAGAGTAGTGGAAGCTAGAGTAGTGGAAGCTAGAATAGTGCAAGCCAGAGTAGTGGAAGCTAGAGTAGTGGAAGCTAGAGTAGTGGAAGCTAAGAGAAGTGGAAGCTAGAGTAGTGAAAACTAGAATAGTGGAAGCTAGAATAGTGGAACCTTGAGTAGTGGAAGCTAGAGTAGTGGAAGCTAGAGTAGTGGAAGCTAAAGTAGTGGAAGCTAGAGTAGTGCAAGCTAGAGTAGTGCAAGCTAGAGTAGTGGAAGCTAGAGTAGTGCAAGCAAGAGTAGTGAAAGCTAGAGTAGTGGAAGCTAGAGTAATGGAAGCTAGAGTAGTGGAAGCTAGAGTAGTGCAAGCTAGAGTAGTGCAAGCTAGAGTAGTGGAAGCTAGAGTAGTGCAAGCAAGAGTAGTGAAAGCTAGAGTAGTGGAAGCTAGAGTAGTGGAAGCTAGAGCAGGGGAAGCTAGAGTAGTGGAAGCTAGAGTAATGGAAGCTAGAGTAGTGGAAGCTAGAGTAGTGGAAGCTAGAGTAGTGCAAGCTAGAGTAGTGCAAGCTAGAGTAGTGCAAGCTAGAGTTGTGGAAGCTAGAGTAATTGAAGCTAGAGTAGTGGAAGCAAGAGTAGTGGAAGCTAGAGTAGTGGAATCTACAGTAGTGGAAGCTAGAGTAGTAGAAGCTCGAGTTGTTGAAGCTAGAGTAATGCAAGCCAGAGTAGTGGAAGCTAGAGTAGTGCAAGCTAGAGTAGTGGAAGCTAGAGTAGTGCAAGTTAGAGTAATGGAAGCTAGAGTAGTGGAACTAAGAGTAGTGGAAGCTAGAGTAGTGGAAGCTAGAGTAGTGCAAGGTAGAGTAGTGGAAGCTAGAGTAGTGGAATCTAAAGTAGTGGAAACTAAGTAGTGGAAAAATAAGTAGTGGGGAAACTAGGGAGTGGAAGCTAGAGTAGTGGAACTAATAGTGAGAAATAAGTAGTGGAAGCTACAGTAGTGGAAGCCAAGTAGTGGAAGCTAAGTATGGAAGCCCGAGTAGTGGAAGCTAGAATAGTGGGGAAAATAGAGTAGTTGAATTAAGTAGTGGAAGCCAGAGTAGGGAAGCAAGAGTAGTGGAAGCCCGAGTAGTGGGAAAATAGAGTTTGTGGAACTAGAGTAGTTGAATTACAGTAGTGGAAGCTAGAGTAGTGCAAGCAGAGTAGTGAAGCTAGAGTAGTGGGAATTGAGTAGTGGAATCTTAGGAAATAAATGGAACTACAGTAGTGGGAAACTAAATAGTGAAGCAAAAAGTAAATTAGGGGAAGGGAGAGTAGTGGAACTGCGTAGTGGAAACAAGTAGTGAAGCTAAGTAGTGAAGCTAAGTAGGGGACCCATAATTAGTTGAAGCTAAAGTAGTGGGAAACTTAATAGTGGGGCAAAAGGGAAGCTAAGAGTGGGAAACAGAAGTGGAAAAAGTAGGTAGTAAAGGAACTAAGTAGTGAACTAGAGTATGGAGCTAGAGTAGTGGAAACTAGAGTAGTGGAAGCTAGAGTAGTGGAAGCAAAAGTGGGGGAAGCCCAGAATTTGTGGAAGCTAGAGTAGTGGAAGCTAGAGTGGTGAGTAGTGGAAAACTTGAGAAATGAGGGGCTATAAGTAGTGGAAGCTAGAGTAGTGGGACTAGATAGTGGAAACTAGAGTAGTTTGGAGTTAGCTAGTTAAACAGGTATTTGGAAGCTAGAGTAGTGGAAACTAGAGAGTTTGGAAACTAGAGTAGTGGAGCTAGAGTAATGGACTAGAGTAGTGGAAGCTAGAGTAGTAAGCTAGAGTATTTGGGGGCCAGATTTGTGGAATTAGAGTATGAAACTAGAGGGAAAGCTAGAGTATGGAGCTAGAGAGTGGAAAACTAGTGTAAGGAGCTAGAGTAGTGGAAGCTAGAAATAATGGTCTAAAGTAGTGGGAAACTGATTAGTGGAACTAGAGTATGAAACTAAGATGAAGTAGAGTATGGAAGCTAGATAGTTTGGATAGCTAGAGTAGTGGAAGCTAGAGCATGGGCTAGAGTAGGGAAGCTAGAGTAGTTGAGCTAGAGTAGTGAAGCTAAAGATTGGAATCTAGAGTAGTGGACTAGACTAAGAACAGAGTATGTACTAGAGAGTGAAGCTAGAGAATGGGAGCTAGAGTAGTGGAACTAGAGTATGAGCTAAAGTCGTGGAAGTAGATTTAGTTGGACGTAGTTTACTAGGTAGTGGAAGCTAGAGTAAGGGAGCCAGAGTATAAGCTAGAGTAGTGGAAGTAGAGTAGTGGAAGCTAATAGTGAGACCTAGAGCATGGGAAGCTAGGTAAGGCAGCTAAGTAGTGGAAATAGATTAGTGGGAAACTAGATAGTGAAGCTAGAGCAGTGGAAGCTAGAGTAGTGGGAGCTAGAGCAGTGGAAGCTAGAGTAGTGGAAGCTAGATTAGTGGAAGCTAGAGCAGTGGAAACTAGAGTAGCGGAAACTAGAGTAGTGGAAGCTAGAGTAGTGGAAGCTAGAGTGGTTTAAACTAGAGCAGTGGAAGCTAGAGTAGTTGAAGCTAGAGTGGAAACTAAAGTAGTGGAAGCTAGAGTAGTGGAAGCTAGAGTAGTGGAAACTAGAGTAGTTGGAGCTAGAGTACTAGAAGCTAGAGTAATGGGATCTAGCGTAGTGGAAGCTAGAGTAGTAGAAGCTAGAGTAGTGGGTGCCAGATTAAGCTTAGTGGAATCTAGAGTAGTGTAAACTAGAGCAGTAGAAGCTAGAGTAGTGGGAGCTAGAGTAAAGGCAGCTAGAGAAGTGAAAGCTAGTGTAATGGGAGCTAGAGTAGTGGAAGCTAGAGTAGTGTGAGCTAGAGTAGTGGAAGCTAGATTTAGTGTGAGCTAGAGTAGTGGAATCCAGGGTAGTGGGAGCTAGAGTAGTGGGAGTAATACAAGCTAGAGTAGTGCAGGAAACATAGATATTATTGCTATAACAGAGACCTGGCTCAATCTGAAAGATAGAGAGATGCCCTATGAATGTCACATACAAGGCTATAAATTATTCCACACCGACAGGGTCAACAGGAAAGGTGGTGGAGTAGCGATGTATGTCAGAGACAATTTAAATTGTTGTGTTAGACAAGATATTAAATTAGAAGCGTCAGCCACTGAATCTGTTTGGTTACAGCTTCTCGAGGGCCGAGAAAAACTAATTTTGGGTGTGATTTACAGGGCCCCAAATCTTGATAGGGAGTGCAGTAAACTTCTATGGGACGAAATTCGTAAGGCATCTACATACGAAAATGTTGTGCTAATGGGAGATTTCAACTATAGACAGATTGACTGGAACAATTTGACAGGAAATTTAGAGTCGGGTGACTTTCTTGATACGATCCAGAATTGTTTTTTAAAACAGTTTGTGACAGAGCCAACTAGGGAAATAACCTCCTTGACTTGGTTCTTGCCAGTAGGGAAACACTAATTAATAATCTTGAGGTTAATGATGAGCTTGGGGAGAGTGATCACAAATCACTCAGTTTTAATATATCATGGAATTCCCCTAATAATGGCAATCAAGTCTCCGTCCCTGACTTTCGCTAGGCTGATTTCATAGGACTGAAAAATTACTTAGGTGGGCTGAACTGGAATGACCTGACTAAGGGTCAGGTAGGTGGTGATGGTTGCCGATATGATGCTTTCCAGGGCATAGTTCTAGCTGCTCAGTCAAATTATGTTCCAAATAGGGAAATCAGATCAAACAAAAATGATCCTAAATGGATGAACAATAGTTTAAAATATCTGATTGGTCAAAAGAGAGGCATATATATGCAAATCAAAAGAGGAGAGGGGCAATTAAGAAATCGATATATTCAGTTAAAGAGAGAAATAAAAAAGGGAATTAGAAAAGCAAAAAGAGATTATGAGGTTAAAGTTGCAAAAGAATCGAAGACTAACCCAAAAGGTTTCTTTCAGGTATACAGAAGTAAGATCAGGGACAAGATAGGCCCACTCAAAAGTTCCTCGGGTCAGCTCACTGACAGTGATAAGGAAATGTGTAGAATTTTTAACACATACTTCCTCTCAGTTTTTACACAGGAGGATACCAGCGATATTCCAGTAATGATAAATTATGTAGAACAGGACGATAATAAACTGTGCACGATTAGGGTCACAAGTGACATGGTCCTTAGGCAAATAGATAAATTAAAACCTAACAAATCCCCAGGCCCTGATGAACTGTATGCAAGGGTTCTAAAGGAATGTAAAGAGGAGCTTAGCATACCTTTGGCTAATCTTTTCAACATATCACTACAAACTGGCATGGTGCCAGATAAGTGGAAAATGACAAATGTGATACCTATTTTCAAAACAGGTGACAGGTCCATAGCTTCGAACTATAGACCAATAAGCCTTACCTCCATAGTGGGAAAATTTATGGAATCAATAATTGCCGAGGCAGTTCGTAGCCACCTTGAAAAGCATAAATTAATCAACGAATCTCAGCATGGTTTTACAAAGGGGCGTTCCTGCCTTACGAATTTATTAACTTTTTTCACTAAGGTATTTGAGGAGGTAGATCATGGTAATGAATATGATATTGTGTATATGGACTTCAGTAAGGCTTTTGACAGGGTCCCACATCAGAGACTATTGAGGAAAATTAAAGCACATGGAATAGGAGAAGAAATTTTTTCCTGGATAGAGGCATGGTTGACAAATAGGCAGCAGAGTTTGCATAAATGGGGAGAAATCAGAGTGGGGAAGCGTCACGAGCGGTGTTCCACAGGGGTCAGTGTTGGGCCCCCTGCTGTTCACAATCTACATAAACGACATAGATGAGGGCATAAAGAGCGACATCGGCAAGTTTGCCGATGACACCAAAATAGGCCGTCGAATTCATTCTGACGAGGACATTCGAGCACTCCAGGAAGATTTGAATAGACTGATGCAGTGGTCGGAGAAGTGGCAGATGCAGTTTAATATAGACAAATGCAAAGTTCTAAATGTTGGACAGGACAATAACCATGCCACATATAAACTAAATAATGTAGATCTTAATATTACGGATTGCGAAAAAGATTTAGGAGTTCTGGTTAGCAGTAATCTGAGACCAAGACAACAGTGCATAAGTGTTCGCAATAAAGCTAATAGAATCCTTGGCTTCATATCAAGAA